CCGCATAAAATGCGCAACTAACCACGAAGGGATTCGAACCCTCAATCTTCTGATCCGAAGTCAGACGCCTTATCCATTAGGCCACGTGGTCGCTCGTTTCGTGTGTTTGCCGCAGCACTTAGAAAGTATAGTGAGCTTTCTGGCCGGTCCTGAGCTGTCAAAGAGCGCCCGGCCGCCCGCGCTTCTAGTCTTTGAAAAAATGGAAACGAGATTACCAGGGTTATTTGGGGCCACGGAGTCGGAACTCGTGAAAGGTAGGAACTGGCAATTTCGGTCTTGGGTCCTCCACGGGAAGAAAAGTCATGGACATTACCACTCCTGAGCAGAAAAGCTGTCTATGGCATCTGAAAGATGCCCAAATACTGCATATTGTCTGCATCTGGGGATATTTTTTAAAATAAGCTAACTCAGAGCTTCTTCCCTATAAATACTCATCCACATTCACTATTTTCAGACTCTAGGTGGTTGGAAGGTCCCCCTGGACAGTTATCATGCAAACCGCACCCTGAAGGCAGTCTTAGCACCCCATGCCTGTCTTTCTCGCTGTCCTGCATGGATACGTGCAGGGTCCCCTTCTCATACTCCTCTGGGACTCTCTCCGATTGTTGTAATGTGACATCGGAGCACTTTTCCTGGTGTGTCTCTGTTTGGTGAAGAAGAGCAATCTTTGGTTGGCGTTTCAGGAGGTGTATAGAGTGGTCTAGGGTCATTCATGTTATCTGAAGTTTCCATATCTTAAGAAATAAACACTATAGTAGGATTACAAAAATTATGACTGTTAGCAATTCTTACAGTCAATAGATGATTCAACACAAAAACGTGTTGCAGTAAAAATCTATGGACGAGATATTTATAGAGTTTATAATGTTCTGTAGAGTGCTTGGCCCAGTAAAGTGATAGAGATTTCAACTTATATTTTGGATGACTTCTTTCGAGTTTATCAGTGAATCTGTGTGATCTCGTGCACCTTGTTTGAGGATAATGTTGGCTATCTACACATATTGCAGTACCTTAATTTTCTTAAATCCCAGACCTTGGGAGCTTTGGCCCTCTCGGTTCATTCGTGATAGGTTAAATTAGCAGCTTCTGGAGCACAGAAATGGGGTCTTTTACATAGTCGTTCTTTCCCTGTCCACAGAATTACATTTGGCAAATAGTAGGAGCTCAGTAAAAATGTGCTGAATTTCTCAAATACATATATTTTTGAATTTTGCAATCGTTTTTAATGTGGGGATTATTTAACTAAAAGATTCTTTTATCCTGCAAAAAAATCTGCATATGGACTTGTTCTCTTCCTCTCTCCCTGGAAGCAAGAAGATGGTGGTTAAACCATCATGGGTACTGTTGGGTTAAGTGGTGAGAGGAGATCCTCAAGGCTCAGTCACCCAGCCCTGTGGAGGGAGACACGATCTTCAGGAAGATCACTGGCAAGGATCTCCAGCCAAAAGAATTTTTGAGGATGACTGATGTCTTGGTGTCCATGACATTTCCCCTCAAGTGTCAACATGATTTCTGGTGATACCTAAGAGACAGATATCCCAGATATCTGTAGCAGAAGATCATGATGAAAGCCTTGGACAGTTAATGATTGTTGACGAGAAATGTGCTGCTGATATGGGCCTGGTTATGAAATAGCGGCGAATGAAAGCTGGGGGGGGGGGGAGTCAATCCGTCTATCATGTTCATCTGCATGTTTTTGGAGCTGGGCAGATGAATTGGCCTCCTGGTTTAGCATGCTGTCAGGATAATTTTCTATTCTCTTGGCAATGATCAAGTTTGCAACTTCCAATATGTTAGTACACTTACTTTTGTCTGTATATGGAGAGGTTGAAGAAATAATTTTTAAAAACCCTATATGTTATAAAAGACATTATTGTATAGCTTATAATAAAAACAAACAAAAAACAAAAATAAAAACATGATCAAAGCCCAGACCACAAACTCGAAAACGCCAGAGATTTTTTTTTTCTGGCTAGGAAGTTTGATCATATTACTCCTTTGATCAAACTTGGTGATGGTTTTTTACTGCCCATAGAAAAATAAAATCAAAACCTGTTTGCACTGCATACTCACTTCCTTATGACTGTCCCTTTCCCTATCTCTTCTGCCACAACTCAGGATTATACTGTAAGACCTAAAATTTCAAGGGCTCCTTTGACATCTTTGAGTCTCACAAGAACCCCCAAACAGTCTTGTGAATTCACCTGTTCTCACAGGATATGCCCTGTATCTGGCTAATTCCCCCATCAACCAGACCAGGTACATCCCAGCCCCTCAACCTACTGGGTTCACCTCCCTGTTGGTCCTGGAAGCTATTAAAATAAGCCAATTCCATCTTTTGGAGGAAACCAGGGTCACCCTTTTCTCTGTCTGCTATAAAGCTTACCTCCCACAGCCCTTGCAGGTCACTCTAGTCAGGAGTGCGACCTGAGGCAACTTGCGGGGCACGCGGTGCCCTCCCCCTCCAGGCTGTGAGTATATGTGACGGTAAACAGCTACCCATCTCATCTGCCCAGTGTTGAGCATGGTGTGTCTGGCCATCTGGTATTGTTTAGGGCAGAGGATCCCTCCTTCACCTATAAGGTGACTGGGAGGTGATCAGATACAGCCACTTTACCTTCCTCCTCCAATCCTCCTCCTCCATCTCCCTCACCTCCATGCTCGAGCACACTGAATGTTCTGTAGTTCTCTAGAAACCCTTAACTGTTATGCCTCCTTGTATGTATGTATGTATGTATGTATATATGTATGTATTTTTCTATCTAAAAGCCTCTTCTTGGCTACCTGCCAACTTCTTACTCATTCTAGTTTGGACTCCAAATCTGCCACCTTTCCCAAACTGGGCCATTGCCAGGGCAAAGGTAACGCAGCAAATCTGTTTTACTCAAGTTTTCACAGATGTCTGTAGCCACGGTGATGACCCTTGGTCAAACTCTGTGAACTAAAATACTGGAATGTTCACTTAGTTACTGGGTCATGACGCTATCCTGTGTACATGAAGCAGTGGGTCACTATGAACCAGGTTGTCAGCATATTTAAAGTAAACCACAGCCTTCACTCGTCCCTGCAAGTTCATGACAGGAGAGAAAGAATGTGGATCATCTCTGAAGATGGAGGACCAGAAAGACTTCTCTGGTGTTTGCTTGTGTATATCTTTTTCCTGCTGTGTCTGCACTTTTCCCTTTGCTGTAATAAATCTTAACTTTGAGTATATGTTCATTTATGGGAGTCCTTCTAGCAATTCATCCAGTTACTGGGTGATCATGGGGCTACCAGGAACAATCATTTTTCCTTATTCCCAACTGCATTTAGTGTATAATCTTTTAAAAGAAAGATCTTATTCTACTATACATTTTTGTTTGAAAGCTAGACTGTAGGCTACTTAAATACTTTTCTTAGGGCTTAGCACAGTATCTGACACATAAATATCTGAATAGGGATTTTTTCTGAGAGATATATAAAACATACACTTTTAAAAAATGAGCCTAGACAACAGTCCTGTTAGAGACTGTAAAGGAAGGTGGGCTGTAGAGACACATTTACCAGCAGTGACCACATAAGTGGTTTTCTCACGTCAGAGTTCAATCCTGGCCACCAAAACTTTGCACTCTGGCTCAAACTGTTTCTTATTTACTCCGAAGATTAAGACTCTCGAGTTGCAAAAGTTTGGCGCTGGGATGGCCCAGTAGATTTCTTGTCTATCGCTTTAGCCCCATGGCCACAACTACCTAACAGGTAGTGCTTTCTGAATTATGTATAGAAGGAAATTAAACTCCTTATCTGGACTTCCTTCCCTGCCCTCACCGCCACGCTCAGCTTATTTTAGCGATTTCACGGTTTCACAGGACAATGAGACTGTCATGATAGCTGATGGCAACAACAGCACTACCACTTCGGCAACCACTAGAAATAAAGCTTATTATGGGAAGACATATTAATGATAACTGAGTGTCCTTTACCGACGTTCTATTTATCTCTAGAGAATGTAAACAGTTTCACGTTTATTTTCTGGAAATAATTTAAGCTCCAGAATTAGACAAAACAAAACAAATCTGGCTTTATTTTCTTTCCATGTTGTGAAACAAATCTACATAATTTTAGCAAAAGAATCCCTTAGCAGAGGATGGTTTCGATCCATCGACCTCTGGGTTATGGGCCCAGCACGCTTCCGCTGCGCCACTCTGCTCTGCGTCAAAAGCGTTTCCTAATAATACTCTTAACCCTGTTCCGAGGCGATTCCTCCTACTGGAAGATTGCTTCCACCCCTTGGCTACCACAAGCTGCCAGTTCTTTTCGGAATAATATCGCTACCGGAACCAAAGAGAGAACAAAGTAGGCGTAGAGAAGGAAACATTAACACCGTTGAGATTTCGGACGCAGAAGCGAGAGGTGGCTGGATATATGAGAGAAAATGCCAAGGTTTAATCAACAGGGAAGGAAGAGGAAAGCCGGGTAAGGAACGGGCTTCCGCGCGGCGGGCGACCATGCCGCCTCACAGACACTAACCAGGCCCGCATTCGCCTTTGGGAAGAACACCCTCCCGGGCTTGGTGATGGAGGTGCCGTCTGGCCGCGTGAGCCCGGGGCGGAGGCTCGCGGCGGGAAGGGCCGGTCCGCGGGCGCAGGAAGGTGGGGGGAGCCGCAGGCCAACGCAGAGGGCGGCGCGATCGCACAAGGCACGCCACGCAGCAAAAGACGGCCAGTGCAAAACGCTCCTTTCTTTAGTCTGACGCGGTTAAAAAGGTCCGAAGTTCTCATGTGGGGACCCGGGACGCTCTAGCTGCCCCCGCGGAGGGCACGGTGGCGGAGGGGGAGGGGGAGAGTGTCCGCCGGGGCCCAGCCTCCCGTGACGTCGCCCAGCCTGCCGCGAGGGGCGGGGCCGGGCAGCGGCCGTTCCCGCGTGCGCGCTTCCAGTCTTCAATTAGGTCCGCAATCCGCACACATAAGGGGATTGCCCGCACGGTTTTCGTGCTTTCTTCGCGAACTCTTAGCGTTGTAGCAATGTCTGGTCGCGGCAAGGGCGGCAAGGGCCTGGGCAAAGGCGGCGCCAAGCGCCACCGCAAGGTGCTGCGCGACAACATCCAGGGCATCACCAAGCCCGCCATCCGGCGGCTGGCCCGGCGCGGCGGCGTCAAGCGCATCTCCGGCCTCATCTACGAGGAGACCCGGGGGGTGCTCAAGGTGTTCCTGGAGAACGTGATCCGGGACGCCGTCACCTACACGGAGCACGCCAAGCGCAAGACGGTCACGGCCATGGACGTGGTCTACGCGCTCAAGCGCCAGGGCCGCACCCTCTACGGCTTCGGGGGCTGAGCGCACCGGACCCCCCGTATTTCCAAACACAAAAAGGCCCTTTTCAGGGCCACCCACTTGTCTCTTGAAAGAGCTGTAGTATTCGTCCTTTAACTTTTGACTCGTGTTTGAGTACTTAGGTTCCAAACGGGTTAAGAATGGCTAGTTGCTGTTTGGTGTGAGGCGCTTCTCTGATCGCTTTGTAACTCCGGGAGTTCACTTCGTTATCGGGCTGCGTCGTTGGTTTGCGGCATTCGGGTCTGTTTAAGCCGCGTCCTGAGCGTTTTTATAGCGGCAGAGCAGCTCATTGTTTTCCCCGGGAGCGTTCTCCGTCTTCGACTACTTCCGAGTTGGAGATAGTGCTCGCTCGGTTCTTGAATACCGGAAAGCAGGGACCCCCGGCCGGCAGGTAGCGGGTGAGCCTCCCTCCCCCGGGCTCCAGTGCCCAAGATGGCGGGGCGGGCGAGGGACAAAGGGAGCGCGCCGGCGGCGGCGGGGCGGCCGGGGAACAAAGACGAGTTCCCGCGGAGCGGCCGGCCCCGCCCCGCCCCGCCCCGCCCCCGGCTGGCCGCGCTCTTCCCGCCGGCTCCGTTGGCCGGACGGCACTGGGGGAAATGACCTCGCGCGGAGACCTGGCAAGTGTTTAGCATAGCCCCCGAAATTTTCAGACAGTTTGAAAACCTCAAGTAAATAAGAAGGATGTTACCCGATGAGTGGCATTTTTAAAACCTGTACATACAGGCATCAGGATATTTCACCCCAAATTACTAAGTGTAGGGAAGGAAATAATCCTCTTCAAGGTCTTCCAGCTGGACTAAAAATTTACATGAGACATTGAACAGGAGAAAAAAAATCCAAAGTTTTATTTCCTGTGTGCAGAGGCCCAATAATGAAATTGAGACACAAATGACTGAGGCAGGCAGTTTTTATACTTTTTAGAAGACAATACATTTGTGAGGAATTGACAAGATTAAAAACGTGTAAATTAACCTTTAATATAACTTTTAATATTAAGGAAAATTTACCGCACTGACCGTATTTTTCTCACTTTTACAAAAAGTGGGAAAATAGAGAGTAGAGAAAACTGGCACGGACTAATACTAGCCATAGAATGAGCATTTGGAAACTACTGATTTGTTCAGTATTTCAACATTGAAGAAAGTGAATCAGCTCAGCTAATCAGAGAGGGGGGCAGGGTTAAAGCAGATTTCCTGACTCTTTCCCCTATAATTATATCTGCTCACTTCCTGTTTTAACCCTTATATTCCATTATTATAAGTAATCCACACATATGTTATTAATGGAATATTATGAAGTAATCCATAGGATGAAATTTCTACTTAACATTTTATATTCCAGCAAAGCATCCTATAAATTTTTTTAAGGCAACCAACAAAGCAAATGTCAACCAATAGATGGATGAATTGTGACATAATCAGGCAGGCATAATCACACAATCTAACATTGCTACGAAAACAAATGAGCTTTAGCCCCATGTGACAAGATGGCAACTCATTGTTCCCTGAAAAAAGCAATTCCCAGAAACTAGATGCAGTATAATACTGTGTTGATCCATTTAGGCTAATTATGCTGTGATAAACAATCACCAAATCCCAGCGACTTACTGTGATAAAGGTTTACGTTTTGCTCATAATGTTTATTGACTGTGGGTCATTTATTTGGTATAAAGATTTCTTATTTTGAGGTTATCTGAATTTTCTTTGAGCGTATAAAAGGATAGTTCTTTTATGAAGTGAGACTGATAGGAGTCTTCTAAGTTGTTGGCAATACCACAGCAATCTTTAGGGTGGCCCTAGATTTCCCTAGTCTGGGAATGATTGTGGATGGCAATTTTGTGATTCTCTTCTTGCTTTAAAAGTGCAGCTGCTTTTCTGAAGATGATTCTTCATTCTGGCCAGACACTACAGAGAGGTTAGGCAAAGAGAATTGGAGGCATGGGAACAAAACAGGAATAAAAAGCTCCTAAGAAGCTCTTGTGTGAATTTCCAGGGTCCCTTCCTTGTAGCCCAACTTACTGTTAAATGAGGTACCCTTAGTACTAGTGAGACATGAGGAAGTCCCTGGAAAATGAGTCACATGTTGCTTGAATTGGCAGGCCGAGGCAGGGAAGTCACACAGCCTAGGTTGTCCTCAAAAGAGTTCAGGGTAAAGAGATGTTCTGAGGAAGGGTTTAGACTGTTAGAAGGGCGTTAGATTGCTCACACAGCCAGACAAGGAACCCTACCTCGTGTCACTTGCTGGTAGTCATTGTGGCCTACTGCCTTGTTCAAAGCCTCAAGACTCAGATTCTAATATGGGCAGGAACTTCCCTAACACTTGAACCAGAGGCTTTAGCTTCAGTTGATATTTTGGAAGACTTTCCTCTGTGTAGGTACTGTCCTAAATGCTTTACTGTGTTCTTTTACTGATCATCCAGCTATGCCATGTGGTGGTTACTAATTATTATTACCATTTTAGAGATAAGGAAATGCTTACCGAAGGTTTAAGGAATTGGCCCAAATTTAGCATTGAAATAGGCCGTCAGGACTGTATCGTGTCCTAAGGGATTCCTCCTTAAGCCACACTTGTATATTTCTTTTCATGTACTGTTTTCAAATGTATTTAAGATTAGCTTTTTGGGGAGCGAGAAACGAAAGCCTTAATTACATGTGGGGCTTAGAGAATCTTCACAAGCTCCATTACAAAATTGAGTTACTGATGTAGGAAATGGTTGGGGTTCAGAGCCGATGGCCAAGAAAGAATTCTTGAGCCGTCTTTGGTGCAAAAAAGGTGGTTTTATTACAGCAGGGGCACAGGACCCCTGGGCAGGAAGAGCTGCACTGGGAGTAGTGGCCCATTATATGCTTTCAAGTTGGGAGGGGGTTAGGGACAGCACAAGCCTGCAAGGCATTTTGGAAAGAAGGTTTTCAGGACCTTGAGGGAGCTAACTATTGTTAGGAAAAGGTCATTTATTACTACTTAGTAAAAACTCAGTCATGAGACTCTTCGGATGTGTATCAGTGGATCGTATGCTTGGAGGATGACTGCTAACATATCTTGGTGGGGGTAGAGCTAAAGGAAGGTTCCAAGGGAATTTTTATATGTTAAAGTACACTTACAGGATCCTGGGGGGTTGGGACAATGTTAGGCTAAGATTGCCTTTCGCCCTTAGCAAAGTGTCCACATCAAGGCAGCTGAGCTCCCAGAGGAAGGTCACTCTTCCTGTTTCAAGGACTTGTCAATGGGCTGTGAGAAGTAAGGAAATTTAATTTTTTCTTTTGCCTTTGCTTCCCACACCACTTAAATTAATGTGCACAGAAATCTACTATGTGGGTATTTGCAGATGAAGACAGGAAGCTAATAGGTAGAAAATGAGATTTCTGAGCTCAGTTTCACACTGCCAATGCTCATGGTTTTCCCCCTAGAGCACAGCGCTCAGAAAAGTTAAATTTGCTGTCTGGTGATCCTTAGCTTCCATATTTTGCTATATACTTTGGCTGGTTTAAGAACTGTGCTGTGCTTCAAAGAACAAGTGTTATCTCCTGGTCAGTTTTACTTTCATTTTATTCTAATGCTCAATTTTCCCTCTGAGCCTGTTACCCCATTCCGATGATTGCAGCTGGCATCTATAGCTTGAGAAAAACAGTGTGGAAACAGTCCTTAGGGATTCAGATCCCACTTTTATTTATTTAAGGGACTACTTAACCTTAATTCCTCAGGTCATTCACTTGTAAAATGGGAGATTCCATTTTGTATGATTGTGACTGTAGGCTGAAATCAGGCGAAGGACAAGCACACGAATGTTAGTTAATTCCTATTAAATCCTCTCCTTTAAAATAAAATCCCAGGGAATGAAGATGTGACTGAGGATAAGATCATTCAGGACACGGAGAGGTTTAGGGTTAGGGACTCTTTGGGGCTGAAGAGTGGAGGCTGACAGATTGAAGCAGAAGCCAATCTTTACCACCCCCACCCCCCCCCGGAATCACAGATGGGAGACTTTCACTTGCTTCCTCCCCCTTCAGGTTATCCAGTTGTAGACAGTGTCTCTTAAACCCTTGTATATTAAGCCCGGTAGAAAACTAGTGGACGAGTTCCCTGACCTTATCAAAAGTCAGTATTTAGCTACGTTAAAAATGTGCGGTGAAGAACCTAGTGGAATTGGAAGGACGTCGGGTTTGAGACCGGCAGAGACCCGCTGTGGTTTAGAAATGCAAGTTGCAGGGTACATTGTTCCATTAGATGCCACTGTAGCCTCTCGCAAGCTCAAAGCAAGTTTAAAAAAAAAAAAGGTACTTTCATTTTCTGAAAAACGCTTACTCCTCTCACTTGTTTTAACTTAAGGCTACTCAAAACCAGGACTGTTTTCTTCTAGTTACTCGCGATCCAGCCTAATGGGAGAACAAAAAACAGGAAAATGAAAGCTCTCGAGATAGGTACACTCTAAACATACTGCTCTCAGTAGCTGAGTAGCGAAGCAGAATGGACTACTCCCAGTTGCTTACAGATTCACTTCTTAGTGATTCTCAAGCCGAGGGCAACTTCTGTCCCCAGATTGTTACTAGTCCTCGAAGGTTAGAATGGATATTCTTGCCATTTCCTCTAAGCTTGTAAAAGCTACGGCTCTTTAAGTGACAATGTGGGTGGCTCTTAAAAGAGCCTGATGTCGCTGGTGCCATTACAAATTAAGTTTATTTAGAGCTGGTGTACTTGGTGACGGCCTTGGTGCCCTCGGACACGGCGTGCTTGGCCAGCTCCCCGGGCAGCAGCAGGCGAACGGCCGTCTGGATCTCCCGGGACGTGATGGTCGAGCGCTTGTTGTAATGCGCCAGGCGGGACGCCTCGCCCGCGATGCGCTCGAAGATGTCGTTGACGAACGAGTTCATGATGCCCATGGCCTTGGACGAGATGCCCGTGTCGGGGTGCACCTGCTTCAGCACCTTGTACACGTACACCGAGTAGCTCTCCTTGCGGCTACGCTTGCGCTTCTTGCCGTCCTTCTTCTGCGCTTTGGTCACCGCCTTCTTAGAGCCCTTCTTCGGGGCCGGGGCGGATTTGGCTGGTTCAGGCATTGGACTAAGCGTACACCGCTTAAACAAGACGAAATAAGTACGCCCACCAGCCAGCGCCCTCCTATTTATTTAGTGTGTATGCAAATTAGGGATAGCAGAATTACGATTTCTGATTGGTCGCCTCAGTATCTTAACCTCTGATAGGCTCCTTGGTTATCCTAAGCTCTCATTGGCTCTTTTCCGTTTTAAATAATTTGACCTTGCAACCGTAAACGCCCTATGCAAATTAGCATTTTTTGTTTGGGATATGCCTTTTGATTGGCTAGAATTTGTGTTCGGCCAACGGCATAGGCTGCTTTACCAAACCGCTGCAGAGTATAATAGTCTAGCTTCTGGGCTTGTGGAGAGCTCGATTCTTTCTGCTTTTTGTTGCATTATAGCTGCTCTAGTTATGTCCGGGCGGGGCAAGCAAGGCGGCAAGGCTCGCGCCAAGGCCAAGACGCGCTCGTCGCGGGCCGGCCTCCAGTTCCCGGTGGGCCGCGTCCACCGCCTGCTCCGCAAGGGCAACTACGCCGAGCGGGTCGGGGCCGGCGCGCCCGTGTACCTGGCGGCCGTGCTCGAGTACCTGACGGCCGAGATCCTGGAGCTGGCGGGCAACGCGGCGCGCGACAACAAGAAGACGCGCATCATCCCGCGCCACCTGCAGCTGGCCATCCGCAACGACGAGGAGCTCAACAAGCTGCTGGGCCGCGTCACCATCGCGCAGGGCGGCGTCCTGCCCAACATCCAGGCCGTGCTGCTGCCCAAGAAGACCGAGAGCCACCACAAGGCCAAGGGCAAGTGAGCCTACTTGGATACCAGTGTATCTAGTTAAAACCTTTTTTCTCACCCAAAGGCTCTTTTCAGAGCCGTCCACGTTTTCACGTAAAAAAGCTCGTAACAGAATAAGCCCTGCTTTCCTTTTATATAAGCCTTAAACGGTTAGTCTGGTTAGTAAAACAGTTCACTTACTGCAATTCATCTTGGCTGTCTAACGTCACTTTGAAGGTGGCCCAGGGAAACGACTTTTACAGAGAAACAGTATGGTAAGCAAAGGTTTAATATAGGTGAGACCAAGTTACAGTAATGGTAATGTTTACAAAACCTTGTTTCTAGATGGACAGGTTCGTTCTGTTCCTTCAATCGTGTTTAGGAAGTAAAAACAGTACGGAAAACCAAAGTGGGTTTAGTTAACTGAACCGCTGTGGAAGGGGTGGTAGCCTGGAATGCCTGAGGACATTACAAGCAGAACTATAGGACCGGAAATCCGCGCGGGTTGTTTCAAAGCTGAATTGAATGAATCATAATACTATTTGGCCACCATAAGGTGGTCAATCACCCTTTGTTGCGTAGTGGTGATCGCCCGCGGTCTCCCGGCCAGGCGTTTCACCTGTGGTTTCCCAGAGTGGAGATAGGGGGCAATCCAGGCGACTCTCAAGGTCCAGTTCAGTGAAAGTAACCATCTGAGAAAACAAAATACACGTAAGTTCTGAAAGCCTGGCCGTCGGAATCTCAGGCGCCATTACGTAGGTCTCCAGAATCGGCATCTTCTCCGATCCCCGGGTGATTTCTTTAGAATTTGAGATGAGTTGAAGCAGAACATTAAGTTCTTGCATCTCTGACTACAACAAAGACGGGATTGGAATGTCGACTAATTCATCCAATCGGAGTCTGTAACAATCCACCAATCATGTCGTTCGCTCTTTAGCCAATGGTTTTATTGCGCGGGACTTTTGAAAAATGCAAGACCAATCAGAAGGTTTCTGAGTATATATAAAGGCAACGTTTTCAGGCTTACTCGTCAGCTTAGCTTTTTCCTTAGCTTTCTTTGAGATGGCTCGCACGAAGCAGACGGCCCGCAAGTCGACCGGCGGCAAGGCCCCGCGCAAGCAGCTGGCCACCAAGGCGGCCCGCAAGAGCGCGCCGGCCACCGGCGGCGTCAAGAAGCCGCACCGCTACCGGCCCGGCACGGTGGCCCTGCGCGAGATCCGGCGCTACCAGAAGTCCACCGAGCTGCTGATCCGCAAGCTGCCGTTCCAGCGGCTGGTGCGCGAGATCGCGCAGGACTTCAAGACCGACCTGCGCTTCCAGAGCTCGGCCGTCATGGCCCTGCAGGAGGCGTGCGAGGCCTACCTGGTGGGGCTCTTCGAGGACACCAACCTGTGCGCCATCCACGCCAAGCGCGTCACCATCATGCCCAAGGACATCCAGCTGGCGCGCCGCATCCGCGGGGAGAGGGCGTAAAGCTTTCCCACCACTGACTCAATTAACTCAAAGGCTCTTCTAAGAGCCACCCACCTTTTCCCTAAAATTGCTGTAATCAACATAGCCGTCTCGCAGTATTAATACTTTTTTTAAAGATTGTTTAAGTTGCTTCCCAATTTTTAGAGGAGTTCTTCAAGGTACTAAGGTTAGTGGGCCGCGTTTGGTTCCTGGATTGTGGGCCTTTACCGAGCTTTCAGCTGTGTCCTAAGTCTTCCCCTTAACAGCTTGAGTTGGAAGAGATAAGCAGAAGTCGCCTGAAGATAGTAACTTTCGGCTCGGAAGTAACAGTATGTAAGTACCTTCAGGCAGTCTGAGAGGCGCTTTGACTTGGGAAGGGAATGAGCCACTTTGAGGTGGCTTGCCTAGTGCAGGTAATTCTAAGGTTATCTGGGCACAGGTAGAAGGTGAGGTTCTTTATCCACAAGTTTGAACTTGGGTGAAGGTGGCTGAGCATTTGCTATTTATCTCTGGTAAGTTCCCACAAATTTGGGCAATGTCCGAAACCTCAATTTGGCACTTCCCATCTCTATAGTTAAAAGTGAAAGTTTGGGCTTTCCTATAAACCAGCCTTTTACACAAGAATGCAGGCTGATAGTTGACTTCTGAATAGTCAGGATTTCTAATGAGCTTACTGGTAGCAGAGCCTAAGACAGTCATGATGGCTTCAGCGGTCTTTGACTCGTAAAGTGTCTACCCACCAGTGGCTTGGACATCATTTGGGAGCTTGCTAGAGATGAAGATTGTCAGACTCCACCCAGGCCTAGTCAGAATCTACATTGTACCAAGTTCACCCCAGGAAGTTGGTGGTTGACACAACTAGTTTTAAGAAGCTCATTTAAAAAACATTTTTGGCCTCATCAAGAAAGCAACCTGTGAACTCTCACAGGAATAAACATTTGTAAACTGCATGTTTATGTCACAGAATTAAATGTTCTCTAAATCAATTGCACATAAGAAGAACCTGGGAAGATAGTTTGGTTTAATAGAAATCAGTGATGTCAATATTGAGGGCACATTACAGACCATTGGATGTTTTATAAAAAATATCTTTGCCTGGGGTCCAATCAGTAGCATTTTAATTGTAGTTTGTGGGGGTGGTCCCAGGCAATAGTAATTATTAAAACTCAGGTGCTTCCAAAAGGTCGCTAGGGTCGAGAACAGATGCTACATAAATACCAGTCTTGTGATTAGCTCCTGTTTGATTTGACTCCAGGTTTAGCAAGGATTTATCTACAGAATCAGGCTTCCTTGTAGCTTGCTTTCAGAGAGAATGTCCTGCTCTCCAAGAGAGGATTTTTGGCTTGCTCGAGGACTGTTAATCGCTGCAATGAATCAAGCAGCATCTGGCTTTTGTAGCAATTTCTGAGGATGGGGCTCATGTGAGTCTTTGATGAGAGATGGACCTGCTTTGGGTGATTGACAATGCCAGGTTTTAAGGGATGCTACAAAGAGGAACCTTCTGGGCTTCTTGGCAGACAAACTGTGGAGACCTGCCTATCTTCCCATGGGCACAAAGTCCTGTTTGGGTATTCACCTGGTTTTTCTCCATGGCCATTATTTATTTATCAATTTATCTTTTTTTCCCCTAGCTATTCATTTTTTAAACTTTTTAAATTATGTGACATTTCAGAATATATGAAAGTAGAAATACTAGTTTCATAAACCCTATGTACCCTGCACCCAGCTTCCACATCATCACTAGCCAAATAGGTTTTATCCATTTCTCGTCCACCCCACTGCCTTGATCATTGTAAAGAAAATGGTATCATTTCGCTTTCAATATTTTAAAACATGTCCACCATTTAAAAACCTAATTATGATGCCATGACGATTCCCCCCAACAAACATGTCTTAACATGGGTGAATTTAAAAATTGTATTTACTCCATATATATTTGTTGAGAGTTTGCAATGTGCTAGATGCTGTTCTGTGCATTGGGAATATACTCAGAGAACCATCCTGACAGAATTCTTGGCCCTTGTGGAGTTTACACGTGAGTGGAAGAGGGACAGGCAATAAATCAGATAGATATGTGTAGTATGTTAAAGGGTAAGAAGGAGAAAAATAAAGGTAGAATAAGGAGTGTCAGGGGAGTTGAGATTTTTAGATAAGGCCACTAAGAAGATACTGCAATGGGCGGGGCACAGTTGCAGGAGCTGAAGGCAGAGAAACAAAGAGAAGCCGGATCAAGTAGGGGCTTGTAGACGTTAGCTCTGAGATGTAAGGCCTTGAAAGGACTTGAACATGGGAACTTCCGTGCATTTCTTATATTAGCAGGTTCTGCTTTATATTTAGGTAGTCTCCATTGGGCTCCAGTACAAAAATTAGGGTCCAGTTTTCTTCCTGTTTTGTGCTATCCAGACTTTGAAAATGGGAGCTGACCTTTAGCCTTTATAGTCAGAAGAGAGAAAATCTCTGAAAGTTAGGGGTTAAATGCAATTTGTATCCCAGCACTTCAAATTCACTAGGTTTTCTGTTTTGTTTTGTTTTTGCCACAGGCAAAATGTTTACCCTCAGGTAACACACTCCATTTATTTGGATTGCAAATTCAGGATTACAAATGCGAATGTCTTCAGGGTGTAGGCAAGAGGTTCTTGTGTCTGTACTTCACTGGGTCTGTCAGCAACGGTGTTTCTGGCGGAATCTAAGCCCTCCCATGGCCAGCTGCAGGCTCTGGGTAGCAGCTCCGTGTCTGTTATGTCATTTGCCCAAGAGAGGTGTTAACGACACCTGCTGTGGGAATCGTGTAGGTAAAAGAGCCGTGACTTCATTAGTTCAAAAGTGTAATTTGGTGCCTACATACATCATTTTATTTAATCCACACAATAACTCTATGGCTTAGAGACCCTTAGTAGCCCAAATACAATGCTGAAGAAACGGAAGCATAGTGAGGTAAACTACTTCACACAGGGGCTCATTTGAATAATTCAGTCGTGGACTTTATCTCTGGTGCTAGAGAATGGAGGGCCTTTGTGTGTTACCTGCATAATTTAATTTTACTTTATCCATCCATCCATCCAAAGCTTTTTGAGCGCTGACTATGTGCCCTGCATTGTTCTAGGTGCCGGAAATAGAGCAGGGACGACCCATGGGGAAAGTTCCCTGTGTAGAGCTCACAGATATTCTGGTTGTGGGAAACAGGAAATAAAAACAGTATTTTTGTAGGTAAAGAGATTAAAGAGATTAAGAAATCAGGCCAAGAAGATTAAGGACTGCCAGGGAGTGGGAGCAATGGGTGGTGGAGGGTTGTTTTAAATGTGTGTGTGTGGGGGGGGGGGCACCTGGGTGGCTCAGTCGTTAAGCGTCTGCCTTCGGCTCAGGTCATGATTCCAAGGTCCTGGGATCGAGCCCCGCGTTGGGCTCCCTGCTCGGCGGGAAGCCTGCTTCTCCCTCTCCCACTCCCCCTGCTTGTGTTCCCTCTCTCACTGTGTCTGTGTCAAATAAAATCTTTAAAGAAAAAAAAAATGTGTGTGGGGGGGAACTTCACTACTTAGATGCCACTGAGCAGAGGTAGGACGCCTGGGAGGGAGACAGGTCTGCACACACCTGTGAGAAGATCATTCCACAGAGAAGCTACAGTGATGACTGAACAGATCCTAAGTTGGGAGCAAACTCAGGGTCATGGCCACAGGTCTGATAACCAACTAGTTAGAACCAGGGTCTTCTGTTTTCTCAAGCTGGAGTTTCTAGGTAAATTCAGTATTGATTCACATGTTTTTAATATTTTTTAAAAGTATGAGTCCAGGTTCCTGAGCATACCCAATTTGGATGGTGATCCAAGAGGAAAAGGCAGGAATAGATGAGTGTTAATCTCATGGAGGACTGCCAGCCTGATTCAAGGACACCAGTAGTTGAGGAAAGCGTATAAATTATGTGATAATTTATTTAAAATAAAAAGTAAGAGGTCTGAGGTTCTAAATAATCACTGTCATCATTTTTCAGAAGAAAGAGTACGTCAACAGAGTGGTTCTGCTTAATGCCTAAGGTCACCCAGCTGGTAAACGACGAAACAAATTTCAGCCCAAGTAGTGGGCCTCAAATCCCTCCAATTTTAAGCATATTTTATTGCTGTTCTGTAGTTGTGTACATTATTATTTCCTCTATGAAATAATATTTCATGTCCTAGATAACAGAGAACATGCCTGGTTCACCTTTGTGCTTTGATTGAATGATACATCCAGTTGAGTGAGGTACGCATTTCCGACATGGAAGGCTTTGAGGAACATATCAGGGTATCTCGAAATGACAGAGCAGAGCTTTTTTGCACAAAAGGCAAGACTGACTTTTATAGGAGGTTCAGCTCATAAAGAATGCATTGAGAAAATGAGTTGAATGAGTTGAGAAAATCCACCAAGATAAAAGACAGCATAAAAGCCAGAACTGAGGCAGGTAAGACTTGAACTTGTATACCAGATGGTCAGACTTGGAATGTACATTAAAACCAGTGGGCTGTCACTGGATTCCAAACCCAGCCTGACCTTATTCACAGGCTGTGAGTCTGACCATGGAGGCCTTCCTCCACTTTCCAATGTGTTTTCTTCATCTCCCAAGCCTTGCGCTGATTGCACCTAGCTCGATTGGGATTCCCAATAGTGTTGAGCCCTGTTCATCTGAAGTGGAAAATGTGATTCTAACTAGAGTTGTATCATTTTATTTTCTTCTCAACTGAAGCAAGTATTGCCAATATTTATAATTCAGTTGTGTTGCACCAGGAAGCTCCAGTGTCCTCCTGTAGATGTAAGAAATCATCAGTTTCCCTCTTGTCTTATTTATAATATTTATAATTTATAATTACCTACTTAAGTAGGAATTACCTACTTATATGAGCTGTGGCAGGGGCTGCTACACAGTTGTCCCCTGAAACGGGTTTTCCTTTCTTAGCTTCTTTTGTGGCTAGTGTGGCCTTGACTATTTGTGGCCAATTGGTATGTTAGCAAAGGCAGAGTTACACCATTCTCAGGATTTCATTAATGGTGGGG